CGTTTAGGTTGTTTCTCCGTCATAAGCACAGCTGCAGCACGCCGGCAATCTTGAGTTTGAACGACGGCTCGCGCTCCGGCGCTCGCGCTGTGCAAGAGAGGGGTGTGATTAGCGCCTACACGAGCGTGACTGACACTGCTAAGACACTCCTACCGGCTCTGATTGGTTGTTTCTGACCGGGAGCGTGTATTTCTTGCAAATGGCAATAGGACCACTGGGAGGAGCCAGAGGAGCTTGATTTTTACACAGATTATCTGTCTCATATTCTACTGTCAGGACATAATGACAGTTTTAGCAAATACATGTGTTCAAAAGTTACCTACAGGAGCTTTAACTATAGTTTAATGTATCCATATCTCATATTGTAATATATAAAGTTTGGGCGAGCACTTTTAACATTTCACATAAAACAAAACCAAACCAAAAATCCTTCAGAAACATTTTGTTGGGATTGCAACCCGATCAAATGCATTTACTTCACCTGCTTTGTTATTTCAGAAACTTCAGGTACTGATTTCTCAAATGTGTGTTTTCGCTTATAATATATTCAAGTAGGTAACATTCCTGAGCAGTTTAAGATGTATTTTAAAGTAAATTCACAGGTTCACTGTAATTTAAGTGAACTATTTCTCTTTTCCTATATTTTTCAGACGTGTCTTTAATAGTCAGTGGTCCTTACAGAGAGTCGCCTATCCTCTCAGCATCCTACCCGGAGTCTCCATGAGCTCAAGGTCCTCCTTCTCTCCTCCAGCCTCGGTTGCCACAGCGATGACGTTATCTTGCGCCACACGTTCAGCCCAGTAACCGAGTTCAGAGGCGGGCGTTATTAGAGAGACGAGCAGAAAAAAGCAGCTCAATCCGTGAGTGTGCAGAAGACAGCCAGCCGTCGGTTCGGTCTCGACCCTCCTGCTGCACCATGCGCGAGATGTGCACCTGCAAGCCGGCCAGTGCGCCAACCAGATCGGAGCCAAGGTAAAATGCACAAATAAATTGTTTGAGAACGGACGGCTCAGATTGGGAAAATGCACGCGATGCCCTCCGAGGCGACTAATCCGCCTTTAAAGATTCATCCAGAATCATTCTGGCGCTTTCATCAGCTGCATGCAGGATTTAAAGACCCATTTGCCCAATCTGAACACATTGCGAAAAGACTGGGAGTGGAAACAACTCATTCATTGTACGATGGGGAATCAAACATTCGTTGTTTCCCCTTTTTATAATAGCGATAATCGATTATTACAGTTAGACTTTACCCTTCAGGGTAATTGATGGCAATGAGATTGAATATATATATATATATATATATATATATATATATATATATATATATATATATATATATATATTTATTTTTATGAGATTTAATTTTTTATGAGATTGAGATTGAAAATTGTTATAACACGGGTCAGTTGTAACAATTCCAATCTCTCCTATCAGGAACTAGTTACAAATCACCTGATTCACTGCGCGCAAGCTCAGTTTTGTTATTCCACATGTTATAAAGTAGAGCCCTGTGGCAGACACAGCACATGTTAGAGTGGATAAAACAATTTTGAGGTAAGAAAGTTACTTTTTTTGTTTTTGTTATGGGAATTTCTGCTTTGTAGTTAAACTCATCAAACTTTTATTGTGTTTATTGTGTGTCTGTGTAGATATTTTCCATGCAAGTTGTTAGTGCTAATGTTTTGCCTGTTAGCTGTAAGGTGAGCTAGTTCATGGCTACATGACTCCGGGTTAGTTGTAACAACAAGGAATTAATATTTAACTAAAAATGTATTATGGCCAATACTATAGACTGACAGTAACAACCGTGCTTACACAAATAGAGTGTTCAAGTTCAATTTATTATGGTCAATTACTATGTCAGAGTAACAACAGAGTCACACACACAAAGCAAGTTTCACAAAAGGTACATAACCACAGAGGTAATCAAGTAATTGCAAAACAAATGGCAAGCAATCGGCCTCCATAGAGTGTTTGGGGTGGTCCTTCTCAATGGAACCAATCAGGATCAGACCAATCAGGATCAGACCAATCAGGATCTCTGCTGGGTAGAGTGCAGGCCACACCTTCTTCTGCAACAGAACACTCAGAAACACACACATACTTTCTAAAAAAAACACACACACAATTTTCAAGTGTTCAATTGTATTATGGCCAATACTAACACTGTTTATTTGTAAGCATGTTTGTTACTGCCAATGTTTGTGTTCAATTTGTAATGGTCTATTACCATGACTGAGAGTGACAAACACACACACACATCAGTTAGATTGAAAATTCAGTGTTGAATAAAAACCTTTCAAAATACATTTTTAGTAAAAATCCTTATTTCATTATGTTACATATCACCCCGGTGGATATCATAATGTTACATCTCACCCCAGGGTATGTTACAACTAACCCAGACTATGGGGTGAATTGTAACATTTCACTCCTCGTGTTTGAAACTAAACCATGCATTTTCTGTTTGTGTTGCAAAGATAATAGCTATGTAATTTAATAGCAGACACTTGTAACTAGTTTGGATCTCATTTTGAACACACTGATTTCAAAGTACTTCAAGATATAGACAGAAAGGTCAAAATTGTTACAACCATCCCCGGTCTCCCCGCTATGGCAAATAAAATATTCTACTTTAGTATTTAATATTTTGCAAAAATAGGCTATTACATATTCATATAATATAGTTACATATGAATTCGAGACCTACATTGCTGAAAGAAAATAACATCACAGCTATTCCTCGGATTCATTTTTGGAACCCCTTGAAATTGACGTAATCCTGAAGATTCCAAACGTTCCAAACATAAATTGGAGATACTCCTTTAAAAAAAAAAAAAAAAATTATATATGTATTACGGTGACCGGGAGGGGACATGTTAGCCTATGTTAGGTTATAAGTGAAAGACACACTGAAGCGCATTCTTAAATTGAATGGGCTTTTTTTGTCGCACTTTTGCAAAAGTGATCATCAAAAAATGAAATGAAAAATGAAAACTCATGAAATGAAAAATCATAATGATGAAACTATTGTCCATGTCAATCTGAATAAAGGCAAATTCTGAATCTGAACTGCTTTTGTTGTTGTTGTTGTTGTTTCTAACGTCACAGAGGTTTACAGTAGGTCTAATTTACATCAGTGGTCCTCAACTAGGGGGCCTGGATGACTTAAAACGATTAAAAATAAAACTAATAAGCTTTAAAATCATGTCAAGCAAATCATGTTTTTTGTTTTAATTCGTTCCCTCAACAACTGCCATTTTTATGGTTCCCATTGTCTAGAACTTGGATATGAGGGAATTTTAAAAGTGTGATTTGTAGACCTGAAAAAGTCATGGAACTTAATAAAATCTTAAATTGGTTAATTAATTGGTAGTAAAAAAAAGCGTAAACTCTGAAGAACATTTTAGTAGTTATTGAAACTATGGAATTTAATTATTTATTTAAATATTTTTAAATATATTGCCACTCCCCATTTTTGTGAAGAAAACTTTTTTTTTTTTCATTGGCATCAATGGTTTCAAGGAAAACATTTAACATTCATGGAATCTTTCCATTCAATAAAAAGTTCATAATAGTGGAAACAGGTTCTTTAGATTATTAAAGTTCCTTCACACTAAGATTTTTTCTTCACACTAAGAAAAAAAAACAGTTCTTTTAAAGGGTTATTTGGGGAACCAAAAAAGGTTCTTCTATGGCATAACTGTGATAAACCCCTTTTGTAACCTTTATTTTTAAAAGTGTACAGCCTTGAAGTTAAAAGGTTGAGGACCACTGATGAACAGAGTTTCCTGATATTATCATTCAAATATATATATTTTTTTGCCATTTTACTAGAGCAAATGAAATCAAAAGCAAAAGACTGAAAATCTTAGCAACCACTAGAGAGCAGTGTTCCTGAAAACAACCTACTGAACAGGTCTTTCTTAGATCTAGTCCACATAATAAATCTTGCTTTGTTCTTAGCAAGCAAACCTGAGACCCGGCCTTAAGCAATGCTGTCTAATTGCAATACATTTCCTAGAAAGACACTCCTCCATGCACACCCAGATATTATTGTACATGTGTCAGCAATCATATGACATTTATGGAATGTTATAAAACCTCAAAGTAGCTACACCTTTCCAAATTCAGAGACCTTTACTAGTTATCTTTAGATGCACTACTACCAACCAATATGTTTACGATAACAATCATAAATTAAAATACTATGATGATCGCAAACACCAGTTTGCAGTGTAATGGACTGTTTATGTACAGCTCAAACAGACTGACACCAGAAACCTTGCACATTCAAGTTAAAATTGGCTGTTGATAAAACATATAATTCCGGTTCTGGCTTCCGATGCGGCAATACTGGCGCAGACACAGCCACGACATTATATCACGGCACAACTCCCATAGAGAATCAGGACTATATATTCAGCAGAAGAATAACACTTAAATTAATTAGCTCAATCAACATGTTTTATTGAAAATGTGTGCAGTGTCCTCAATATTTTTAATATGGAGTAACAGCAAAGCCACCCAAGGACATTCTGAATTGTAAATTAGTAACTCTGTTGAGCGTTGTGCCTAACAACACCCTTCAGCCATGATTATATTTGCAATATAACCTCATGCTTTTTTGCTTAAATATAAACTGCACAACTTAGCAAATTCTAAAAAGCTGAAATTCGAAAAGGCATTCAAGTTAAAAAGAACGCATGAAATATTTGAGTGTAAACATTCATGCCATCATAAAAAGAATCAAAAACGATTCCAAGTAGAATTCATTGTTGCACTGATCAAATTTCTGGACAATTAATATTAGTTTGAAATATATAGTTATAGAAATGTGACTGAGGTAAATCAAGAGAAATGAAATAATTTCTGAAATGATCAAAGGGGTTTTAACCAACCAGATATGAAAGTAAAAACATCCAATTTGTGAGCAAATGGATCTCAATAAATATTTAAAGGTGTAGTGTGCAAAATCTAGTGTCAGGAAACAAACAGATAGTCCTGCCTCCAAACTCACACCATTGGTTGAGCTGATGCTGTTAAGTTAACCAAAGACTTTAGATATATAAAGACGGTCCACTCATATTACTATGAATAGGAGAGAGTGAAACACACAATATGGTGGAATAAGTCCCGCCTTCTAAATAAATGAGCCAATTGGTAAAGAAACAGTCAGTGTTTCTTTACCAAGAGGCGCGCTTAAGACTGCACATGCACATTGGCTAGTCCGGCCAGAAAAACGCAGGGTTTTTTTTCATGATTTGAGTGTTTAGAAACAATTTATAAGATCAGATTTCATTGGTAATTTAAAATATGAATATTAATCGTAAGCTTGGTGAACAGCTTTTGGAGAATTTGATGTTTCCCCATTAAATGAGATTGCATGAAATAGTTGCCCAAGAGGCGTTTCAAAGATGGCCGCCGAGTGAAATGACTTGCCTTAAAAGGACTTTGGTCTGGCTCTTTTCTGGATGCAAAAACAAACAGATTGCACTTTTGTTTTGTGCCACTAGGAGTGGAAAAATTACAAACTTCACCTTTAAACATATCTTAACATTACATACAAAAATCTGCATTTGTAAGTGTAAAGGAACAATTAAAACACAACACAAAATGAAATTTTCAGAGAAAAGCTACCAGTCTAAACTAAGAATATCAATGCTAGAGAACAACACATGCAGATCTATACTGTGAAATATGTTTCCTTTTGGAGAGAGTAGCTTTCCTTCAAGTTTCTTCCAAGTAGTCAGACTCGCTTTGTTTAGCCAAAACATATGGCCAGTGCTCAGAAACAGTGCCTAGTTAATGTTTATCCATTTAACCATTTTGGAATTGATTCACCATCATCATGTGCTGCTGGTTAGTTATAAACCAGTGTGTCAAATCAGTCTCTCCTCCTTGGGTAGTTTGAGGGCGTCTGGCGTCTCTACGCTACGGGTTCCTGTTTGCTCCTCTGTGCTGGGGCGATACGTCCCCTCCGTCTGTCTCTTCTTCTTTACCACGCAGAACAGGAACACCAGAATCGCCGTCAAAATAGCCACCAGTCCCAGGACCACAGTTGGTACAACAATGGCCACAATATTAGGGCCCTGGACAAAGAAAAGTAGGAATGTTAATCATCCAAACGGAAGAAGTAGGCTACTACAGGACTACATTAAGCACTGACTTATTGAGATATTGTGGCATTAACTACATTTACATGCACCCTCATAATGCAATATGGCGACCAGATTTTAATTTTCAAAAAGCTTTTGTAGCCCAAAGAATATTTAGTTATATGAAATATTCTATGCAATATATCAAAAGAAAAAAGAACTGTTCAGAATTCAGAACTATAGGCTAATCAAAACATAGATGGAGTAGATCACATCTATCAACACCCCCAAAGCTACACAGTCGTGTATCTCTTCATGGGTCGACATTTCATTCGATAACGTCAAGCAGTTTTGATTTAAATGCCATTCGATGTTTGATAATCACGTTATTTTACATATGCGTAAGCAATGTTTCTATCGCTTGTTCCTGCTTCTTCTTCATCTTTGTTTTGATCGGGAGATTCTGTACTCTTTCAGAAGATGTGTAATTGCGCTCCCTACCATTTTACAGTGAAAACATGGATTGCCAGGAAATTCAGTCAATGGCGGGGGGAAGTGTTGTGTCATAAATGATGGAAAACTCCATCAATGGCGGGAAAAGAGTTAAGCTCATAATCGTAGTAACCATAATAGTAGTAAAAAATATGACATATGCCTAATTTAAATTTCAATAAAAAGTTTCTGTAAAATTCAGAATTGAAATGAGAATCCCTTTTACATTCAATGCCTGAATTTAAGCTGAGCATAAATGGAGGTAGCAAACAGGATTTGAGGATTTGTCAAATGGAATGAAATTCATTTAACTGCTGTTGGTGCAGTTGTTAATAATTACAGTATTCTTTCAGTATGAATTACCCATAAACATAAACGTTATTAATATTAGTATTTTTTAATTTGAATTTAATTTATTCAACAAGGATGCATTCAATTCAATTCATCATGTTTAAAAGTAATAGTAAAGATGTAACAGCACAACTGTTTTCAACATCGATAATGATATTAAATGTTTCTTGATCATCAAATCATCATATTAGAATGATTTCTGAAGGATCATGTGACACTGAAGACTGAAGTAATGATGCTGAAAATTCAGCCTTGATCACAGGAATAAATTACATTTTAAAACATATTAACATAGAAAACAGTTTTTTTTTATTATAAACAATATTTATTAATGTTTTTGATCAAATAAATGTAGCATTGCTGAACATAAGAGACTTTTCAAAATTAATTAAAAAAAAAATCTTACTGACCCTTACCTACTGGCCATGGTTACAGAAAAAAAAATTCCCCCCAGAATGCTCTACTTTACCCCAATTTTTCAGATATAATTTTTCATTTAGTCCTGTAGTGTGAGGCCAAATAAATTCATATTCATTACTTATGAATACTACGGAGTCCTGCACATGACATGCGGACAGAAATATTTTTCTGGTCACAAATTAAGAATTTGTTTTTTTCGTTTTACTAAATTGTGCGCACTATATAATTTGTTCCCTTGATTTAGTAAATCGTGGCCACGTTGTACTTATTTTCTCCCTCGTTTTGATTTAACTACAATTAAAAAGGGAACATATTATAATATCGTACGCACAATTTATTTAAAACAAGGAAACGAAATATGCTGACGTATTCATAAATCGTGGGAACAATTTGTTAATTTGTGGCCACAATATACTTTTTTTTTTTTCCTGCATGTCATGTGCGGGGCTCCGTACTATTCAAACGGAGCCAATTCTGAATTTTGGGCTATTCTGATTATCATTGAGCAAATGAAGAGAACATTCTCCAAGTTAGTCAGATACTATAAGAGAAAACATTTTGACAGTTGATGCCCTTCAGGCTAATAAAGAGAGAGGAAAGAAACACACCACTACACCTCAAGGAATCTCTACTTACTGGGCTGGGAGTTGTACTGGGCATGGTGCTGTTTTCCTCTGCAAATAGAAAACATTACAATGAGATGACAATTAATTGTACATATTATGGATAACAGTCTGCAGACTCTAATGTGACTTTAGCTCTCATCCTAGCTAGGGGTGGCTCACAAATCACAAAATGGTTTCTCAGTGACAATGTTGCAGCTCAAAGTAGCATGTGTTTTCTTTGCGGTTCTTTAATATTTGATCTGAGGTGTGTTTCAGGATCATTTCAAGTCACATCACTATGACATGCACCACTGTCACAGTGCTCGCCACTAACACTAGTTTGTTAACAATGAGGGGAAAAAAAGCAAAGATATGAGGATGGGAACTAAACATTAATAAAAGAGGAACACTTGAGAGTGTTGTTTTTTTCCCATGTCAAATGGTGTGAACTGTGATATGTGCGCTCTGTGGTGGTGTAATCTCACAATTTAAATGATTTACAGCAACATTATGAAACCCAGCACCCAACATTCAGCACATGTTCAGAGAGCTGGACATCTGGACCTTAACACAAAATTTGAAATAAAAAATATAGCTAAAGTTGAGAGGCGCTGATTTAGAGCTCACTGTGTGATTCTATATTGATACACATCTGAGCAGTAGCGGCCGTTGCTATGTTTCACTTGAAACAGGCCTCGCAACAGAAAGGGGCCTCGGCTTGAGCTCGAAAAAGAGCCCCGTCCCCCACCATTATGCAGCGCACACACACAACAGGGTCAGAAATTAACGAGGGCTTGGGGCAAAAATTTCACCACCAGACTTAATAATGCAATCAAAAAACAAGATATGGTGCAACAACAAAAAAACATTCTACATCTTAGTCCACTCCTAAAAGTTGACAAAATACACTTTTAGCATATAGCTACAGGTTTAAAACGTACAGTTTCTTCTGGGAAAACTGACAAAAAATATTTAAATGACTCATCTTGCACATACACAATTTTGACTAGAGTGAAAATGTCCCTCCCCCTAATGCCACAGAATAAGCAAGAAGCCATGAATGGTTACTATAAACTAAAGGATATTGGCTATTTTAAAACATAGGGATGAGCCTTTCGACACGTCCCCCTTCCTGTTTCAATACGTCAACACAGGAAAGAAAACGGCATGCGTCAAGTGATTACATGGTCTTTGAATATTTTGTGTGGTACTGTATGACGTCATATTCAGTGTATTTGCATTGATAATTTTGCTGTTGACATAACATTTTTAATTTTCAACATGAATATCTGTTATTTGGCCATTAGCTTTTCTAACTACTGTCTAATGTGGTGATCCATACAATGGTAGTTGCTGTTAGTAAGTTAAATTAATATTCTGTGAATTATAATTCAAAGTCAGTTATTCTTTTTCCATCATCAACTCAGTAATGTTTAGAAAAGTCTGTATGTAATTTTTCATTGGTAAACGTTTTAGTATAAAATATATGCCACCAAACATTGCTGATTATAACTATGCATTGTTATATTGTTGTACATAAGATGCATTTTTTTGCTATTGGTAACCCTTACGAAACAAAAATATATTGCAGTATGTTGGAAAATATCATTTGATATATTAGGCAATATATTGCCATATATGGGATTTAATATTTATATTTTCCAATCTATTGCAATATATGCATAGACCATATATGTATATACACTCACCGGCCACTTTATTAGGTACACCTGTCCAACTGCTCGTTAACACTTAATTTCTAAGCAGCCAATCACATGGCCTCAACTCAGTGCATTTAGGCATGTAGACATGGTCAAGACAATCTCCTGCAGTTCAAACCGAGCATCAGTATGGGGAAGAAAGGTGATTTGAGTGACTTTGAACGTGGCATGATTGTTGGTGCCAGAAGGGCTGGTCTGAGTATTTCAGAAACTGCTAATCTACTGGGATTTTCACGCACAACCATCTCTAGGGTTTACAGAGAATGGTCCGAAAAAGAAAAAACATCCAGTGAGCGGCAGTTCTGTGGGCGGAAATGCCTTGTTGATGCCAGAGGTCAGAGGAGAATGGCCAGACTGGTTCGAGCTGATAGAAGGGCAACAGTGACTGAAATAACCACTCGTTACAACCGAGGTATGCAGCAAAGCATTTGTGAAGCCACAACACGCACAACCTTGAGGCGGATGGGCTACAACAGCAGAAGACTCCACCGGGTACCACTCATCTCCACTACAAATATGAAAAAGAGGCTACAATTTGCAAGAGCTCACCAAAATTGAACAGTTGAAGACTGGAAAAATGTTGCCTGGTCTGATGAGTCTCGATTTCTGTTGAGACATTCAGATGTTAGAGTCAGAATTTGGCGTAAACAGAATGAGAACATGGAACCATCATGCCTTGTTACCACTGTGCAGGCTGGTGGTGGTGGTGTAATGGTGTGGGGGATGTTTTCCTGGCACACTTTAGGCCCCTTGGTGCCAATTGGGCATCGTTTAAATGCCACGGCCTACCTGAGCATTGTTTCTGACCATGTCCATCCCTTTATGGCCACCATGTACCCATCCTCTGATGGCTACTTCCACCATGTCACAAAGCTCTAATCATTTCAAATTGGTTTCTTGAACATGACAATGAGTTCACTGTACTAAAATGGCCTCCACAGTCACCAGATCTCAACCCAATAGAGCATCTTTGGGATGTGGTGGAACGGGAGATTCGCATCATGGATGTGCAGCCGACAAATCTGCGGCAACTGTGTGATGCCATCATGTCAATATGGACCAAACTCCCTGAGGAATGCTTCCAGCACCTTGTTGAATCTATGCCACGAAGAATTGAGGCAGTTCTGAAGGCAAAAGGGGGTCCAACCCGTTACTAGCATGGGGTACCTAATAAAGTGGCCGGTGAGTGTATATTGATACATATAAAACAAATAAATTGCAATCAAGACCAAAAAAGTCACTATATTTTTTACATATAATAGTTTGTCTTTATATGCTTTAATATACTGCAATATATCCATTGATCATGTATGGCTATGTATTAATACATATAAAATATTTATTAATGAAAACAAAAATAGTATTACATGTATTCACAGTTTTATCCTTTATTGTGTACATTATTGCACATACATGTTCCAATATACATGTTAATGTATATTCACATTCATGAAATGAGTTACAACATATTTCTAGTTTCCAGCATGCTTTGCTTCTGACTGGTAAAGGAGAGCAAATGTTAAAAGTAAGTGTTATTTAATGTGTTTTGCTCAATATTAATATAGTGGGAGATCTGTTAGTGTTTCATGTTCTATTATTTTGGAATTTAAAATGTTTTCTGGTATGTCTGAGTTTTTGGGGTCACCATTGTGCTGAAGAGTAGAGCCTGTGCTTATGTTGACGATTGGCTTAAGACCATTAAGAGTAGACTATAATTACTATATTTGAATTATAATTACTTTGATATTAAGTGGTTTAAAGGTTTGCACATATATTGCAGGTTGCATATTTATTAAGTATTCATATATTTTAGATGTTACATGTATATATCTCCATATATGTACATACATTATAAGTGCATATTCACATATATGTACAAATATTGTGCATACATTTTACAATATATATGTACATATATTTCCATATATTTAAACTATATTCTACCATATATTAAACATACATGTGACACTATATCTTTACATATATTATCAATACATTTTGCCATATATAAATCGGAATACATTTGGATATTTATAAATATAAAATTGCATATATTTTACGATATATAAACACATATATTATATATTCATGCTCAATATATTGAAATATATGGAAAGCGGCAATCATTTGTATATTTTGCAATATATTACATGAATATATAATATATTGTATAATATATTTATCATTAATATATTATTCCATGTATTTCCAATATATATTGGAAAATAATATATTACAATTTATTTCAAGTAATATATTGGTAAATATATTTTCCTTTCGTAAGGGTAAGCTCTATCACAGCCTCAGAATTTGTATAAATTACCTTATACTTTATCATAGTTGTCTCCTTGTTTAAAATTAAAGAAGGACCAGCAAAGTATCAAATGGTGCATTGGTGCCCCATAATTAACCTCAATTCTCTGAGCAATAACAAATCCCTCACATAACAAAAACCTCAAATAATTTCAAAGTTTGGCAACTTTGTAAAATCTCACATTTGTGATTGTTGCACTTTGACAAACCATAGTGTGCTTTTGAAGGTCAGAGAACAAGTAATGGTACAAAAACTTTTGACTTGATTGAAAATAAATGTTACACTTGCAAAGTGGTGATTTAGGGCACGTTTACACAACAACAATACTTAAAATGAAAAAGTTCTTCCTTTATGTTTCTCGCGTACAGACGACAACGTTGTCAAAACGATCCCTGTTCACACAGATCCGCAAAAACGACTTAAACCATATTATTCATGCCAGGCCTGTAGATGGAGATGCCACTTAGTAAAGAAACACTAGTAATATGCATGCATGACATCACCATTTTCACAAATCTGCGTGTGTGTGTAGTTTACACTGGGACGATAACAGTGTCGTTTTCAAAAACTTGCACTTTGAAACCTGTTTTCAAAAGTTTCCATTTTCAAGCCCACAAAACTTTGTTGTCGTGTAAATGAACAACCAAAATGTATAAAAAGTTTTCAGTTATTGGCTGAAAATGGTGTGTAAGCGGTCCCTAAAAATCATGTTTAAATGAAGGCACAAAAACACATAGAAGAAAGAGAGAAGAAGGGAAAGAGAGAGAGTGGGAGAATACATATGAAAAAGCTAAAATGTTAATGATTTACGAGAGTAAATAATCCCTCAAGGACAAAGATAACTTTAAAGAAGGAAAGGAACTTGTTGCAGGACTAATCATGAAGCACGTGAATGCAGTTTAAGTATGTAGTGGGACATTTATTGATTAAATGTTTTCTTTAAAAGAGTGGCAAAGAAAGTGTTTTAGGAAGATGGAAACTTTTGTTAATTCATTAATAGTTTTGTTTTACTTAGTTGAGTTTGTTCCAGTGTTTGTTTTGAAAGAATGTGCTTATGTTGCAATAGAGAAATGATGTAATGACTCGTACATGTTCAAGAAAGGGTTAAAAGGGTATTTTAAAAAATAGCAAGGAAACTGAGATGAGCAGAAAATGTACATCCCCATTCCTAGCTCAAGCACACCTGGTGCAACTAATAAAGCCCTTGATTAGTTGCATCAGCTATGCTTGAGACAACGCAACTAATAAAGCCCTTGATTAGTTGCATCAGCTATGCTTGAGACAACACTTGTTTTGCAGATTTGTGCTGTTGTTTGGGAGTCTATTCAGGGGGTTGAATAATTTTGAGACTGCGGAAGTCATTAAAAGTTGCATTTTCAGTTGAATTTGGGGAAACCACTCGAAACATTTGTTGTGTTGAGCTATTTCAATTACTTTTGTTTGATTTGTTCATCGCAAACAGCTAAAAGTCTGTACACTTTGCCAATGAACCTGATTTGCAAAGGGGGTTGAATACTTTTGATAACAACTGTATGAATCTCCAAAAAAAGTTGTATCCCCAAAATGAGAATAAAAATAAATTACATGTAGCCTATTTTGAAGCATTGTGACATTTTTGACAATTATGCACAATTCTGTACCAAATTCTTAAATCACCATTAAAGTATGTACAACAAATACTACAATAACGCATTTAAATAATATATACAATTTTCACAATAATGTAATGAGACCTAGATATGTTGTATTACAGTGAATAAGTACAGTTTTTGGGGGATATGTACCTACATATCATGGAAAATAATGTCACAATACAGAAAATAGTAATGACCCAAAAAAAAATATTTAATTTTCTATATGGAATATATAATTTATTGTGATTTTGGGGGTAAAATGTGATCTGGGCGGATTTTATGATAGTCATAGTTTATGGTTACACAGTTCTCATACATTTTTTTTATATATATCTTAATGGCGAGTACAATTTTATGACCTGACCTCCCAACAATACCTTAGATGTTTCTGCAGAAAACTGACATGCTTGAGCTTGTTTCAGGCAATCTAGTACTAACTTAGTACAAGTTAGAGGAGTGTTACTCGGCTCATGTTCAGATTAATCTGACGCAACTCAATTGAGCTGTTCAAACGCAGTGAGCTTTAACAGTGATTAATAATCCGGATACTCTCAAAGTTCAGTTTCGGACATGACTGCAGAGGTGGAGCGAGTGACTCACCCTGGGCCGAAACATTCCTGAGAAGCAGCAGCATAAAACTCCCTGCCAAAAGTCCAACCTGCCGTATCATCTCCGGGATGGAGTCAATCTGCACCCCTACCCCGACCAGAAGGGGCTGATGCTCCGGCTAGGGTGGAGCGGAGGTGATCAATAAATCATGTCCGAGATCAAAGAATAAAAAATCTAGCGAGCTGCAAAAGAAGAGTAGAAACGTCTGTTAGGATCTGAAGTTGGTTTGCAGATTTGATCATTCCTCTTGTTTAAAACAGTGAGTTTCTTCATAGAACCATTGATGCAAATAAAGAACCTTAATTTGTAAGAGTGTAGAAAGGAACTATTTGTTTTATAATTGTGACTTAGAAGAATTTAGCTCACTAATCGTGTTGGCTATGATCTCCTAAATTAAAACATATCCAAATGCACTGATTCATTCCAGTATGCCTTATTTTTCTTATTTGTGCAAACTTGGATTTTAAACAAGGTTACCATGTGTAAATTCTGTTCTGGTAACAAATATACATTTACTAATACGTTATTAAAATCAAATGTTATATTTGTTAACATTAGCTAATCCACTGCAAAGAAACATGAACAAACAATGACCAGCTGTATTTTTGTACTAACGTTAACAAAGATTAACAAATACAGTACGTATTGCTCATGGTTATGTTGGTAATTAGGCTAATACATTAACAAATGAGACCTTATTGTAAAGTGTTAGCGGACATTTAAGAGTGTCCAGATGTATGTGTTTAATACTTAACAGCTGACTCCTGGCACTGGGTACTTATTTTGCATTTCGGTTCATGTAACCTTTATCCAGTTCACGACATGAACATTCCTTCCCACCTTATCTGTGTTGCTAAGGAAACATTCATACATTCGATACGACACATAAACAGAAACATACTCATACCTGTGTTTCCACCTTCATAATCCAGGATGTTTCCTGACGAGTTTTTGTGAATGTATGTTATGTGGACTATATGTCCGCAGGTCTCTTCCGCCTCTCACCTTACCGGTCAAATTAAGGATTTAAACCGAAACTAGCTCGTCACTCCGCCGTCCTGCTCATAATAAAACATTGTCCTTCGGGATCCTGCCCTGCTTTCAATGGTGGTCTTGTATTTACTAGAGTGTTGAGTGAATGCTCGAGCTGGGTATGTCTTCTTTCTAAATTCTCATCGCTGATCACATGGTTCAGTGTCGTGTTACAACACCTGAATCCAGCAGCTACTACCTGTGGCGCGAGACAGGCGCGCTATTGTGCGCTGAGATCCACCTGCGCACTAGAGCGATGCGCGCGCTCGCGTCCTCTCTCTGACGCACGTCATCATCACTGTTTCGATCTTTGCGCCCTTTACTAATTTGAATGTTTTACGAACTTCAAAAGGTTTCCATCTGTTCTGAACCTGACTGATTTGGGGTTTTCAATGGAAGCTATTTTTAGCTTTTATTTTTAGCTTTAATTTATTACCTAACCTAGTAACCTAAATAACAAATAAGAGAAAATAAATGAAATATCATAAACTAGCCCTCTCTCTCCCACACACATGTTACCAATAATATTCAATTTCAATTCAACTTTATTGTCAGACTCAGGGTCCATTAGAAAACCACACAACATTACAGACACCCAACACCTCAAAACATAAACAAAAACAAAAAATATATAAAAGACAATTATACCAGTGGTTCCACAGAGGTGACTGGTATCGCACAACACTTTACTAGGATTTGTCAGTAGCTTAATAATGCCATTCTGAGAGCCATATTGGAATACATTCAGTCTCTTAGTGTTGCGACCTCCAGTGGTAGCGAATGAACTTTTAATCTCATAAGAAAGAAATTCTTGACATACCACACTTCTGTTAATCCTTTCCACCTTTTAGGAAAATTATTAACCACTTCGTGTCTGTTGTTTCGTTTGATGGTACACACAGAAAAAAGGTAATTAGCATAAAACTCACAGTAAAAAAGTAGGCTACGACGACAACAACAATGAAAATAATAATATTATAATACACAAATATAGCTTACAACAGTAGTAGTAGCAGTAATAATAATCATTATACATCTACAGGCATAAAATGCGTGTTTCACAAGTTCAAAAACAATCCACAATACATCAACATCCAATAATCATTCTGATATGCTGAGTTAATATCAATGTTGGAAAATGAACTTGTGCTGCTTAATATTTTTTATAACCTGTGATACGTTTTTTCAGGATTCATTAAAATAGAAATCTTTTGTAACAATATAGCCTACACTAGGCTACTGTTCAAAAGTTTGTGGTCAGACTATTTTTCTTTCCTTTTTTTTAGAAAGAAATTAATGTCTTGTATGCATTTGCAAGGAGGCATTAATCGTATCAATTCTGTTCATTGAAGAGCTGCATGGAACAACTGTATTCAGCTTGTTTACATAAGGAACCCTCGTTACTCTCTTGTCTATGTAACTATCCTTCCCTACTCATTGAGTCCCCCTAGTGGGCTGGAAAGAACATCACAACTAGAGAGGTAATTTACAAAACCCTGACAATTAATACTTTTATTCAGCAAGGATGTTTTAAATTTCTAAATTTAAAATGATTTGAACATCACACAGCTTGAAATACAAATACCGTTTTGAAACACAACATAATTTCATTCATAAACACGGGACTATACGAGACGGGAAACCCTACCTGCACGTGTGTTGAAGTCATCAAAAATCCATATCTTTTTATAGCAGTATACCACTTCGAATAGCTGGGAGAGTTTGACGTAAACTGGTAGCAGGTAGCTTAAAAAAAAATAGAAAAAATGCATTGAGGCGAAAGTTTATGTTTCATTTCTCCATATCTCCAGCTGCCGGTATGGGGCGTCAATTTAGGGAACGCTCTCATGTGTTGTATTTGAAGGTTGTCACAAACAACCTAAATAGACGTATGAGTTGGAGGACTTGTTGTTATGAAACTTAGACAAAGACATCAACAATCAGCATATGAATCTCAACAATGGTGACAATCAAAAGTTTCATGTCACAATGCATGCTGGGTTCCAGGATAGTATAAAACTCCCAGCATGCACTGCAGTATGAATAAAAAAATAAAATAAAAATATTGCCACCATTGTTGAGAGTTGAGTTGATTGTTTCTGCAAGACAGTTTAGCTCTGTTTCTTTGGTTGTGCATGAGGTGTTAAAAAAAATCATCATTGTAACATTGCTGTAGTTTCACAGTGGTGGTAATGTAACACTTTTGATACAGAATTAAACTCTGAATGAGTTTAGTGAATGAACAGGCTACATGATGATTTTGTCATCATAATCAATATGACAATATGCATTCACAAACCATGTGTGTGTGTACAAGTGTGGCTTGCAAAACAGTTCAAGCAAAATAAAAACTGATGTTAAAAAAAAGTCAAGGGTCAGTGTAAGCCCGGCTCAATCGGCCCAATGCCGGTGTCCGATCAGCGGGTGAAGGAATGTCTTTCTCGTGGCAAAGTAATTTGATTAAATGAAATACATTTTTTCATGTTATTACCTCGTTATTTTATCTGACTCCATAAATGAAAAGGTTTTAATGATATCTGTGCATCATTAAATGTGAGTGAATGTTTGATTATTCTTTTTAACTCTTTACTGAAAATAATGTCAGAGTCTATTTGAATAAAATCAAAGGTTTACAATTTATTATGGCAGGTAAATATATCATGCAAATTTCATAATCAGTTCAAAGATAATAGATACAAAACATCAAATGCTCTGGAATAAAGAGTCAAGATACAATACCTTGACATTATAAAATACATAAAGCCAAGTGTTTTGCTTGCACTTTCGCATCACGGGCTGGTCTGGGTTACAAAATCACACCAAGGTAGAAACCTCTTTTCAAATGTAAACATATGGGAATTTACTTTAATCACCATCCCAAACTTACTGAAGGCAGAAGTTGATTTACATGGAAACATTTGCTACCAATGGGAATTTATATTGAGTTTACACCTTTGAGAACAGAGTACCATTTGCCTGGAAGACACACCCTCCTTTGTGTACAGGTTATCCCTAAAACTCTTAATAACTTTATTACCTTTGGGAATGAGACCTTTGTACCAGTTGCACTGAGACATTTTCAATGATATCAAACATGTGTAATACTGTAAAGTTGGCAGGGGTGGTAAAAGTACTCAAAAGTTACTCGAGTAAAAGTATATTTACCTAAATAAAGAATTACCCCCGTAAAAGTAGAAAGTCATCCATTCAAACATCACTTGAGTAAAAGCACAAAAGTATCCGATTTAAAACGTACTTAAGTACCGAAAGTAAAAAGTAAATATTCAAATTAACAGTAAATATAAATAATTAAGCAGATCAATTGTTTTGGGAGTGATATGCAATGTTTTATTTGAACAAATGATAAGATTAGATACTCCAATTAAGAATTTTTTAGCTAGCTGTTTACAAGGCACGTTTCAATATGAAATCACTTGGCTAACAATAGTAACATTAAAGCAACACTAAATAACTTTTCCTCTGCAGTCCCCCTACAGGTTGGAGGCGGCATAGTCCGTTACCGCTGTCGTAAATAATTTAGCCTACCGCAGCCTACTGTGGCGTAGAGTGAACGTTGTCCAATTGTAACGCTTGCCGTAAAGTCAAATTTGTAGTTCTCTTACGAGAGGTTCTCTCGTACTGCGTAATATCTTACGCTAGGGGAAAACCTCTTTTCCTCGAGATATTGAAGCCAAAAAATTATCCTTAATTTTGTATTAATGCAAAACGCATTGCAACAGCAAGCAGACATAGGCAAGGTCGGCTTAGCGTGCCTATTGGCTGGCCTGTGGCAATTGCAGCAGCCTATCGAGAGAGGCCATTCAGTGACAGTCCAATGAGGGCGCTTCGCGCCCATTGCGTCACGCTCCCGCCGAAGCGGGCGTGGCCTAGCCTTATAAATACTGCTCGATGGGCTAATATAATCTGATTTTCATCTCTTCAGCGGAGCGTTCGCACCGACTGGATCCAGAGTGAGAAGCCGTGCCGTTGATACAGCTTTCTGCGGGAAGAGCCCTTGCTACTGAAGTCGCTGGCCTCCATCTCGCTGCCTTCAGCCGCCGTTCCTGGTTATCTCCCTGTCCACTGCCGGTTTGTAGCGAGGAAAGGGACGTGAGCTTCCTTTGCCCAGTCAGGGCATTAACCAACCTAGTATTAATATTATTACTTTTATTGCCATGTAAATAAATAACTTCAGTATATTGACAATGCTTTATTTACATTCAATAAGACATTACATTCTTATTACACAAAAGTTATTGTTGCAATTGTTTTAATTTATTTCCTAAAGGTAAGAAATTGTTTCAATAAATAAAAAGGCGACAGTGCACAGAATATTAATGTTAAAATTAATTAATTTAGAATTATGCTTTAAGTTCTAAGAAACATGGAGCACAAAAAACACAAATAAACAGTTGTAAACATTACAATAGCTGCGTTTACATGGTTCAATCCGAATGAAATCAATCCGATTGATGAATTCGAACACGGTGTTTACATGAACGATAAATAAAGTAATCGGGTTGATGTGCGCGTTTATATGTCACAAGATTCAAATCGAAATTGATTTTTTGACATGCGCACTGCACGAATATGCTGCTGTTCGCGCATAACTATTCTCCTCTATTTTGGTGCTTTATTTGTTTTAAACAGCAGACTTAATATATGTATCCGCCTCTGGTCATGATTTGGAGACGATGAGCATGAACCGTTTTGTCGTGCTGCTTATATTGATCATGCAGTAAAACCCCGCGCCCAAAACCAGTCGTCCATGGATGAGAGTCTGAAACAAGCACTGCTGGGACGCTGTCCTGCTCCACTTCACAGACGCTGAGTGAAATGAGAATTTTTTAATAACGGAACACTCATTTATATTCACTTTATTCACCAGGAAGAACAGCTCGTTCCGTGCGTCATACGTCATTACGCTATTTCAACGTCATTGCACATGCGCAGTCCTTTTAGTTTCGGTTTTCAATCCGATCAAGTGTTTACATGTTCTCTCGATAGGATTACAAAAGGAGTAAACCACCCCTTTCAATCCGATCGAAATTTCAATCGGATCGAGCTCAATCGGATCGATTAAGGTGTTTACATGAAGGTTTTTTAGTCCGATTGAGCCGTCAATCCGATTATAAGTGTCCATGTAAACGCAGCTACTGTCACAGTCTTCGTCTGCACCTGTCTGTCTTAGTCATCTTCACTACACTTCCCATATCCTTCTTGTCTCCACACCTGTACTCACTCCCTCATTATCCACCTGTCCCTCGTCATCATCATCTGTGTCAACTGTCTTCACCTCGTTAGTGTTCATTTGGACTTGTATTTAGTTTGCCTGTGTTCAGTCTGTCTTTGTCGGTTCTTGTAAATGCTTAGGTGTTGTT